CCGACCTTCCGCAGCCTGCAGTTCAGCGTCTTAACCACTTGAGCCACCGCGGCTCCTTTGGGTGGGGTATAGATCCAGTCTCCTCCTCCTCTTCTTCTTCGTAAGCTTCCTCTGGCCCAGATTTGGGGGTGGCGCTCGGTTGTGCAGGGGGTCTTTCCACCAGGATCACATTTCTTGAGTGAAGAGAGCCTCTGGGTTACTTCTGGGCATAATCCAGGGTGGTGCTGGGGCCCTTGGAGGGCCCGGGTGCTCTGAGAGCCATCCGAGGAGAAGACACAAACACCGGAGCCCTCTGCTGCATCTGTCATCTGCTAGTGAATGACCTCCTGTGTCTTGAAAGGATCAGAGCGGCTTGCTTGGGGCTCCTGATCCGTTCCCCCCACAGCCTGTGTCGTGCAATGTTCCCTCTAAGGTGTGGAGCCTTGTGAGCAAAAATTCTACTTTGTGAGCTGCTGGCATGAAAGTTCTGAGCCAGCAATTTGGCGGCTGCATAAACAACTTGTCTTCTCTGGAGCCGTCCTTCCTGAGCCAAGACAAAAATGTGTGGGCCAGAGGCTAACAAACTGCGAGCTGGCTCACGCTCACTCAGCTTAGAGGGAACATGGGTTGTGGTTGGAGTTGCCAGCCTCTAGGCAGGGCCTGGAGGCCTCCTGGAATGACAGCTGATCTCCAGAATGACCAGGTCAGTTTTTGTGGCGCCAAGAGCAGCTTTGGAAGGGGGGGGGGCTGTCTGGCATCACAACCAATGTTCCCTCTAAGCTATGGGGTCTTGTGAGCAAAAATTGTACGTTGTGAGTTACTGGCATTAAAGTTCTGAGCGAACAGTTTGGTTACTGCATAAATTTTGCTCTGGAGCCATCCTTCCTGAGCTAAGACAAAAATGTGTGCGCCGGAGGCTAAATAACTGTGAGATAGCTCACACCAACTCAGCTTAGAGGGAACACTGATCACAACCCCCTTGAGGTCCCTCCCTAGTTCCCACCCCCAGACCTCCAGGGATTTCCCAAGCCAGGGTTGGCTGCCGTCACTGGAGGGGTTGGGTTCCGTGCGGGACACAGTGGCGTATCCCATGCAGTCATATAAAAGGGGCAACAACAGGAACTGGGGACCTTTAAAGATGTCCCTGGGATCCAGCTTCCGATCCGGCATCGTTCCAATCCATCTGCATCCCTGGTGCTTCCTCCTCCCCTGCCTTTCGGGGCTCCGGTCCCTTTCCCTCTTCCGTTCCGTGACCTCCCTCTCTTCGAACCCTGCAGCGACCTGAAGCTTGACAATGTCATGCTGGACTCCGAGGGACACATCAAGATTGCGGACTTTGGCATGTGCAAAGAGAACGTCTGGGACGGGGTCACCACCAAGACCTTCTGCGGCACCCCGGACTACATCGCTCCTGAGGTGAGATCCTGTTGGGAAGGGACAACCCGCGTCCTTCCTCTTCGGCCCCTCCTGCTTCCCACCTAAATGTAGAAAAAAGCAAGAGTCCAGGAGCACCTCAAAGACTCACAGAATATGTGGCAGGGGAGGAGCATTAATGTGCACCTGGTATTTCTGGCCACTCTGTGACAGAGTGTTGGACTGCATGGGCCATTGGCCTGATCCAACATTGGCTTCTCTTCTGTTCTTCTGTTCTTATGAGCGTCTCTTCTGTTCTTCTGTTCTTCTGAGCTTTCATGAGTCACTGCTCACTTCCTCAGATGCAGTTAGAATGGGAGTCCATCAGTCCTGTGTATTGGAGAGTGGAATGATTTCAGATGCCGAATGACATTAGCATTGGCTTCTGTTCTTATGTTCTTATGAGCTTCTCTT